GGAGGATAAATGGAATCTCTGTGTATGTGTGTCTGTTTGGAACAAAAAAGAAGAAAACAGAGAGGTTTGTTTAGAAGTTTGTTTTCGTTTGTTTTTGGCTAGAGCAAACTCCAGCACTTCTTCAGAAATGTACCCAGGTAAACCCATTCTAATAAAACAAGCTGCATGAATTTCATAGAGTCCTCAGCCTCAGGGATTCCCCCAACCCAACTGTCCACCAAGCATGTGTTGCCCCATCTCTGTTAACAAGTTGACCCTCTTTCTATGCTTTTCAACTCAACTTCCTAATATTGAAGAGCTAATTATTCTGCTGTGCATCACTGAAGTTTTTAACTCAATATATATCATCCTTCACCTCTTAGGAACATTGTTAACATTCAAAAGATTTCTGAAATCCCAGTAATATTTTTAAATTGCTCATTCATGGGCACACATGCACAGACACACAACTAGACACCAAAAAGTTCTAATGTAACAAAATAACCTCACCTAAGCTTCCAACTCCTAATTCCTATCCAAGAAGTAGGCTGGCCATTCGGTTGCATACACTGACCTTAGGAGTCATTAATTGTCAAGGACTATCCACTTTAAGGCAGACATGCATTTGAGGGTTGGTTGCTTCAGTATCTTCACTCCTACTGTCAGAGGCAAACGGCAGGCTCCAGGAATTGCCTCTGTGTGGTGCCATGAGTCCCAGCCTCTCAACTCCAGACCTGATAGAAGAATCACCAAAGGGAATTTTTTGGAAGTGATTATTGAACTTGAGTAGCCAGACTTTCCTATTGGGATGAAGCTCCCTTGAGTATTATTAAGAAGTCAAGCATGCACTGAAAGATGTGTGCACATGCACGTTTTGGTTTTGAAATTATCCTAATGTAGAGAAGAAGATGGATCCTCATGGATCTTGTGCTTAGACCCCAGATATCTTTGCTTGAAGAGCTCATAGGGGACAAAAAAATTTGTCTCCTTAGGAGGTGGGAACTGAAGGAAAATGAATAGAGCTCCCACTGTTTCGGCCCACTCCATTTTTTTTTTCTAGGCAGATGGCTTGTTTGTGGTCCTATTAAGATACCTAATCAGAAGCATCATAAAGACAGAAATGCATTTTCTACTGTTTTCCATCAAACTTCTCACATGAAGAGGGTATATAACCAGACAAAGGACGTGTTGGTGCCATTCACTCATCAAGTATTTAATTGTGACATAGTTATGGAGCACCTCCATGTTCCAGGCCCGATGGTTCCAGAGATCCTAAAAGCAAAGAATTCCATTTCCCCACTTGTCTCATTCCCAGTGTCATCTTTGACATTGTCTCACCATGGATCTGTGGATAGTGCCACTTGGATATATTGTACACTTGTAACTTAAAGTGTCTAAAATCAATCTGATCACTGTTATCATGAGCTAAATACTTCCCTTTCTGTAGCTGGCACTGTCATTCTCCTTGTCACAAGGGCTCAGTATCTCTGAATCATTTCTGACACTCAGCCTCACCCACCTTCACCCTTTTTTGGTCTTCTATACCCTTCTTGAATGAATTACTTTTAGATTTCTTGCATAATTTTTCACAGTTTTTTCATAATTTTCATAGATTTTTCATAGTTTACTTGTTTACTTAGTTTACATAGTTTACTTCTAGAGATTGTTAGTCCCTGCCCTGATATCCACATTCTTGTGCAATTCCCTCCTCTCATGTGTAGACTGGACTTAGTGACTTGCTTCTAATGAAGACAATACAACAAAATGGATAAGATGTTATGTCCAAGATGAGATTATAAGACTATGAATTCTATCCTGCTGACACACTCTCTTTTGCTTTGATGGCTCCCTCTGATGTAGTAAGCTGCCATGTGGGAAAGACTCATAAGACTAGAGCCTGAGGAGGGCCTCCAGCCAACGACCAGTAAGAAACTGAACCCTCAGTCCAGTAGCTCATGGTTCTAGCCAACAATCACTTGAGTGAGGTTGGAAGTGAGTCCTTCCCTGGTTGAACCTTCATATGACACTGCAGCTCCCAGCTGACACGTTGACATAGCCTTGTGAGAGACCCTGAAGCAGAAGACTTGGCTAAGCCTTGCCTGATTCCCAACCTACACAAACTGTGACTTAAGAAATATGTGTTGTTTTAAGCCACTAAGTTTTGGGCTAATATGTTATGCAGCAATAGATCACTAATACAGTACTAAACTAATAGTTTGCTTTCTTGAATAAGAGCTATGTGGACAACATTCTCTTTCAGACTTGAAAGACAAGTCATGCAAAGAATAATAACAACAACAAAACTCTGCATATCCTTCTATGGTAGTGTTTTCTGACTGAAATTTCATGGATCCTTAAACATAGTTCCAGGAGTGCTGACCATCTTAATGTTTTAGAAATTAAGCTGCTACAGTCTGAACCTTCTTTGCATTTCTTGAAGAAGGTCAGAGTGGCAGGATCACTCCTAAACCAGCCAGTTTGTGTGTATAGATACATTTATTTGCTTATGAAAAATATTGTGTAAGTTTAATATCAACCTTCCTCATATAGTAAAATATTACAGATGGTAGGACCAAATATATGCATAGCTAGAATCAGCTTAATATCTAATAGTTCCCTAGCAAAATGTCGCTACATGGAGAGAAATATAGATTAATCCAAATAGTTATTTGGTGTCATGTTGAAAGAGAGGTAAATTTAGTGGTGTTCTCTGAATTCCATTGCTTTTCCTCACCGTGTTTGATCATGTTGTTTTGCATGTGTTAACAGTCCAAGACAGTTTCCTGGGCAGCTTTTGCTGGGTTTCTGTCCTTTGTGGGTCCTACACTTGGGGACATAAACTCTAATTGTACAGAATTTTGGTTATTTAAATTCTGCTCAGTCACAAAGGTTTTGCTTGAGGTAGAGTCAACAGAGATGTAAGAAAAAAAGGACATCATTATGAAAAAGTAGGGAGGGTCTGAAGAACAATGATGCCAGAGCAAGATGGAGCCAGGTAGTAAATGGTCATTTGGTCTGCAGATGGATCCAGCTGGAGGCAAATGTATGTCTTTATTGTAATTTTAATGCTTGGGGAAGCATGTCCAAGATTGGAAAATAATTCAGAACATTTTTGATTGATAGGAATAGAAAAAAAACACAATGAAAAGAACGGTCATCAAAGAAGCCATTCATCTTTACAGAGGAGCTTCTGTATTAATAAACCATTTGTTTACAACTAGCCTATGGAAAGTATGGGGGACAAGTGAGGGTTGTCTTCTTGGTCAGTCTTCTTTGGGTACTCTCTTGTAGAGTTCTATATTTTGGAAACTGACCTTCTAGTCTACTGTCATCCTAGTCCCGAGGCTTACCTTTATCTCATTTCTCTTCCTTTAAATTATTTCCCTTCCCCATAATTCCTTCATTTCAGTTTGGTTCTCTGTGAATTCCAAGAGGCCAGTAGTACTTCCAGCAAGCATTTCTATGTATTAAAAGAATATTTTAGGAGACAAAGTCTTATTCCTTGTAATCTAATCCGATAGTAATTTCCTAGTAATGAGTCCTATATGTGGAAAAGATTTATAGAGTTCATTGTTTTCCTGTTCTCCTCCTGTTTCTGTGGAAAGAGCAGGATTACATTCTCCAGATTCCCTTGCAGTTAATTGGGGCCATATGACTAAGAGATGGCAGGTGGAATGTGGTCAAAAGTGATACGCACTACCTTCAGGACTGGCCCATAACCATCCTTCCCTTCTCCCCATAATTCTTAATCCTCTCTCCTTTCCTCCTTTTGCCGAATAAATGGAGAGGATTCTGAGGCTCTACAGCGAGGTGGAGTCCCAGATGGAAGCAACAGAAGCCTGTCTCTCTAAATGAGTACGTGGAATAGCTCTTTCTGAAGACCAGCATTGGCCTCTGACATGAGCAGGAAATAAACTTTTACTGTGGTTAACTCCTTCAGTTTCGAACTTTTTTGTCAGAACATTGATTTACTGTGATTAATACATGAGTGCCAGCTTCTATGGCTTGAGCTTTATCATAATGGGAGTCATTGTACAGTAAGGTCAATAGATTGCAGCAGAATACCAGGTAGATTGTTAGATAAACCATCTCTTAGCACCATTATCATTCCTTTCATTTCATAGAGACTAGCAAATTCTCAGATTCACTGATTAAACGCTCCTGCTTCTTATTATCTTTTCTTTACCTTGGTATGGATTGACTGGGAAGCATAAAGAAGTTGTGAGGTCTCTGAGTGCAGAAGCAATGAAGACCTCAAGAAAGAAATTTTAATTGTGGGATCTGATGTGATGGAGGTGACAGTTAATGCTATGGGGGTAATCATATTGTAATACACAAGTTTATCAAATCAACATGTTGTACACCTTAAACTTACACAATGTTACATGTCAATTATATCTCAACAAAACTGGAAAAAAAACTCCCAAGAAACAAAAAAACAGAAACAATGAGACATTTGGGCCTGTCCAGTCTATGATTGGGATAATCCTGCTCTCTAATGGGGAGTCAGTTGCTTCCCATGGGAGTGCTTAGCATCTGTGTTTGCTTAAGCCTTTCATGAATCCAGGTGAGCTGTCCAAAGCCTCTACTCATCAGTGTTATTTTTTTTCCTGAATACTCCCAATTACAGCATTACCTCCTTCTGCCAGGAGGAAACCATGGCCTTGGAGTGATTTGGGGATCCTCTGTCCCTAGTAGAAATCACAGATTTGCATTGCTCAGGAGACCACAGACGGAGTTTTTCCTTCCAAACGTCAAATACTGGTATTGACTCCAGGAGTGTACTACTTCGTGGCTAAAACGAGCTCACTGTTGCACAAATGTGGCACACTCTTACATCAGTCTTTCCCTCCACAAATACTGACTTCTTTGCCTAGACTGTCCCTTTCTATCTTTTTCCCCTTGAAAAGGTCTCCTCACTGTCGAATGTCCTTTGAAGCTCTCAAGTAAAGTGCCTACAATATTTCCACTGCACTTTGTCCCTATCCTCTTAGAACATCTTGGAGTGTGCGTGTAGGACAGTGACTATCTTTAATCTTTCTGCAGCAGTCTGAATCCCACCTGTGCCAGGCACATAATACGTACTCTGTAAATATATGTGGAATGAATAATTGAAAGCGAGTAGTGGAAGACATAATGGGTCTCACCTTAAAGCGGTATCACCCATGGGTCCCCAGTACATACTATAGGACCAGCCTCTTTTAGGACCCCATGGTATCCATAGATGCCCCTTTCTTCTTGGCATTAAGGTGATCTCTGGACATTTTGAGGAAGTGAAATTTAATATCTATCTTTAAATTTCAGTGTTAGCACATCCTCATAGAATTTAAATCTTTTCTGAATGCCATAGTCGTTTCTTTAGTTTCCTCATGGCTGATTTCATTTCCTGATTTCTCAGGGTGTAGATCATAGGATTGAGCAAAGGAGAGATGACAGTGAAAGTGACAGAAATGGCAGTATCTGTGGGGAGGGCAGTGAAGGGCCGGGCATAGACATAGATGCAGGGCACAAAGTGCAGGGTCACCACAGTGATGTGTGAGGTGCAGGTGGAGATGGCTATCCTCCTGCCCTCTCCACTATGAGATCTCAGCATCCTCAGGATGACTGTGTAGGATATGAGGAGAAAGAAGAATATAAACCAACTGACCAATCCATTATTAGAGATCATCAGGAGCTCCAGAGTGAAGGTGTCAGTGCAGGCGAGTTTGAGCACCTGGGGGACATCACAGTAGAAAGTGGCAAGAACATTGGGTCCACAGAAGGGGAGGGGCAGCAATAGGGAAATTTGCACAATGGAGCGGACAAAGCCCCCCACCCAGGAGGCCACAACCAGGCTAGTGCATCGTCCCCTATTCATGATGGTCATATAATGGAGGGGTTTTGAGATGGCTATGTAGCGATCAAATGCCATCACAGAGAGAGAAAAAACATCCGCACCTCCCAGAAGGTGGAAGAAGAACATTTGAGTGACACAGCCATTGAAGGAGATGGTTTTTCTCTCTGACAGAAGATCAGCTAGGACCTTAGGCGCTGTGATGGAGGAAAAGCAGATGTCAAGAACAGATAGATTGCGGAGCAGGAAGTACATGGGAGTGTGAAGGTGAGCTTCGCAGGTAACTGTAACCATGATGAGGAGGTTTCCCATCAGAGTTGTCATGTACACCAAAAACAGGAAGACAAATAAGACCCAGCTCAGTTCTCGAGACTGGGTAATTCCCAGGAAAATAAATTCTTTCACTGTGGTATAATTTCCCTGCTCCATTGGGTCCCAGATCCTTTTTGAAGTATATCTCTGGAAGAAATAAAAGTGCAGTTAAAGAAAGTTTTATGAAATCTACTGTTGTCTTTCTGTCACTTCTGTCTGATGCTTTCCTGGGGAGGAAGTTCATCCTTTGTGCATGCGCCGTGCCTGCAATTCTGTATGCTTCCATTAGATGGAAGAGCACCCAGGTTTTTGACTCAGTCATCCAAACAGGTAGGTTCTATCACTGTGGCCACTGAAACACAGGTGACAGATCCGTGAACCTATTCAATTGTACTTTTAATACAAAATATGACATATTAAAAAATAAGCATGAGTTTGATATGAAGAATGTTTCTTCACAAAAGACACCATTATGCGAATTAACAGACAACCTGCAAATGGGAGGATATTTACAATATATATACTAAGAAAAGCTTCAGGTCCAAAATATGTAAAGAATTTTACAAATCAGTAAAGAAAGATAGATGTTGAAAAAGAAAACGGCAAAAGACACTAACCAAAACTTTACCAAGGAGGATATTCGAATGGCAATTCAGCTTGATGAATTATCAGGGAAATGTAAATTGAAATTATAGCAAGGAACTACTACCTACATACCAAAATGGCTAAACTGAAAAAGACAAAAAATATCCCGTGATGGTGAAGACGTGGAACAACTGGAATTCTCATAGCCTGCTGGTGGGTGTGCAAATCAGGAGAATCACTTTGCTGTCTGATTATATCTGCTAACGCCATTATCTATATCCATATCTATATCTATACCTATATCTATATATAACTTTCTAATCGCCTATCTTAGGATGGATATATATACATATATATAGTTCATTCAATTGTACGTATTGATTTTTCTGAGGATATAGCTCCTTCTTCAGAATAATCTATTTTACTCCTAGTAGGTATGTACATATGTGCATATGTCATATCCACCAAGACGTATCCTGGAATATTCGTAGCAGCACTGTTTGTAATTGCCTCAAACTGGAAATGACGCAAATGCCCATCAACAGCAGAAAAGTTACATAGATTGTTAAATTGATACAATACCATAGAGCCATGGGAATGATCAACGTACGGTACGTGAAACAACATAAATGTCTCATAAACACAATGTAGAGTCTCATCCAGGCACAACAGAGTGTGCACCCACTTATTTTGTTCATATAAAGAACAAAAAGTATACAAAACTGAAGAGAATATGAGGGAGGCTTTTGAGGTGCTGATAATGTTCTGTTTCTTAATCTGGTTGCTTGTTACAAAAATATATTGCTTGTGTGAAAATTCATTGAGCCATACACTAATGTGCATTTTTCCGTATGTATGTATATTATCCGTCAGCAGAATGTTAAAAATAACGAACATGGTGATTATAACGTTTTAATCTCATGTCTAAAGAATGACTTTCATCCAAGTGAGGTTTAATTGACGACCCACTTCATAACGGTTACTTTTATAGTTATATAGTTACAGCCTTTACCAGCTACAACTTGAGTTACCTTTTTATCTTTTTCTCACCTACAGACTTTAGGTCCTCCCGAATTCTTGTGTTAGGCAGGTTGCCTTCTGTCCACATGTAGTGTCTTCTCAGATTCTGATTTTCGTTTCTCTCTGTTTTCTTTATTTTGTTCTTTAAATCTCAGAAAAAAAATCCTTAAAAGACCATGTTTCCCCAAGCAGCACTCTCATTTTTGCTGACCTGGAAAAATAAGATGAGAGCCTCATTTCGGATTCCATGGTCATCAGTTCGGATTCATCTCAGTCTCCTTGTCTTTGGTGTTTGTTAATGGCACAGAGTGATACGAACACATGTTCAGAATAACGATTGTGGGAAATTTCAGGTCTCTAGCATCTCAGATGTAAGAATTCCCTACACTATACTTACCATGGCTAGAAGGTGGAGAAATCACCCCTAAAGCACTGTTCAGTTAATCTAGAGTGTGGAAACAGATTTTAATGAATGACAGCAGTCCACTCTAGAATCTTTCTTTTGGATATTGGACTGATAAGTGAATGGTTTTCAAATCTTCTGCTGAGGAAACCACTGCAACCAGCCTCATAGATTACGTTGTCACTTGTGCTCTCCTTTCCTCCTTTCTTTTCCTCCCCTGTTTCTCTTTACTTTTTCTCTTTTCTTTCCTTCTTTGCTTCCTTCTTCTAGATATTTCTATGACCGTATGAGGGTTCAGCAGAGAAACAGGATCAATAGGACATATATAGATATACAAAGTAAAATTATAATGAAGAGTTGACTCACGTGATTATGGAAGGTGAGAAATCCCATGATCTGCTGTCTGCAAGTTGGAGACCCCGGAAGGCTGATGGTATAATTCAGTGCTAGTTTGATGACCTGAGAAGTAGGGAAGCCAGTCCGAGGGAAGGAGAAGATGAGATGAGATGTCCCAGCTCATGCAGTGAGGCAGGGAAAATGGGGCACCTTTCTCCTTCCTCCGCCTTTTGTTCTACTCAGACCCTCCGTGAATTGGATGATGTGTACCTTAATTAAGAAGGCAATTAATCTGCTTTACTGAGTCCATCGATTCAATTGCTAATCTCATCTGGAAACACTCTCACAGACACACCCAGAAATAATGTTTAATCTGGGCGCCATGTCGCCTGTCAAGTTGACACAAAATTAACCATCATAATGACATTGAGATGGTCTTTTTGAGTGAAAGGCGACTCAAACATAGATCTTTTCATCAGGAGGTTTACAGTTAAGACAATAAGAGTGTTGCAGGTGGTGGGGTCGGCAGAAAGAAAAGGGAAGAGGTACAAAATCATGAGGATGTATATGAAAATAGCCCCATTTGGGCATACGATGTTTGTAAACTCCATCCAGGAGGTGTGCTGAACAGTATCATATCCCACACTTGCATTTTGGATACACATGTGTGGATCCTCTGGAGCAGTCAGGCAATTTGGATTTTACCACCTTCCTAGTTGGTGTGGCCTTGGGCAAATCACTCCATAATTGTACCAAACTCATGAGAAATACATGGGAGTTTCACAGGGAATGGCTTAGAGTCAGTTCTCAGCCTGCATCACTATAATTTATCTACCACATGAAAATAATGAGACCTACCTCATACACAAGGTGCTTCTAAGGAGTAGATGAGATTGCATGTCTGTTTAGGAAACTGAAAGCACTGAGAATCTGATTTTGCCAATCTTATCAGCCCCATGTGAGTGCTTCTTTCCTTACTCATGCCAGGTTCATCTGTGGGGTCATCTGGGACTGGCTCATCTTGCTATTGACTGTGTGATTGAAAGCCCTCCTCTCAACACTTAAGGTAAGTGGCAAATACTCTCTCTCCTCTAGGGATCTCTTTCTTTTTCAGTTATGAATTTGAGCTAAGACGTGTTAAAAAAATCAGAGTATTGTATCACACACCTCCTTAGAAACATAAATAAATTTGTGTATGCAGTTTAGATATAGTTATTTATATTACAATCCTTTATGGAAAGAAAATAGATTATAATCCTCATTTACAAATCCAATCATCTTGATATCAGGCCCCAGGGGGGTCCATGCTACTTTCAAGTCTCAACATTATGGAAATGTTGGCAGAATAATGGAGGTCTGCTTTGCTGAAGTTTGTTTTTAGAAAACTTTTGTGGAGTGATTCTTGTACTGACTGCTTCATTTTATCTCTCCAAAACCTATAATATCCATGTGAAGTTGACATTACTGTCCTGATTTTATAGATGAGAAACTGAGACACAGAAAGATTAAGTAAGTTGCTCAAGGTCTCCCAGCTGGTAAACCCAGGTCTCAATCCTAGATTTGTCTTATTCCAAAGACTTATGCTCTTAACTACTGCAACTATAGTTCTTCCCAGTGTTGATCAGCCCTTCCCAGAAAATGGTACAAAGAAAAAGGCTCAGAAAAATCTTTTTCAAATCAAGTTAAATTAGCGTGTGGGTGTAAGAAGCCTGAACGCAGTAAGTGAGAGGTGTAGCTGAGACTGCCTTAGTATAAGTTTTCAGAAGTCACTTAGAAGAAAAAAAGCAGTTTGAAAAAGCAAACTTTGTAGTCATTACAGGTACCTCAATCAACAACCCCCATCCACTTCCTCATGCTCCATTGGCAGGGGAAGAAGTGAGTTCTGAGTAGCATCTCCTCAAACACAAACTCTCAAAAATAATGGATCTGGTCTCTTCCTATGGATGCTGTCTTTTTGCAAAGGGTGGGAAGGATACTTTGAAAGTATAGGATTATGCACATTGTATTGAAACTCATGCATGTAAGAGAGGGAGGGGGAAAATGGATAAAGAAATATAATTTTATGTGTTGCAAGGTCAAAATGAGGATCACCAGTATTTCTTAAAAATCACACCAAACAGGGGGCTGGCCCCGTGGCCGAGTGGTTAAGTTCGCGCGCTGCGCTGCAGGCGGCCCAGTGTTTCGTTGGTTCGAATCCTGGGCGCGGACATGGCACTGCTCATCAAACCACGCTGAGGCAGCGTCCCACATACCACAACTAGAAGAATCCACAACGAAGAATATACAACTATGTACCGGGGGGCTTTGGGGAGAAAAAGGAAATAATAAAAAATCTTTAAAAAAAAAAAAAAAATCACACCAAACAGGACCATCCTTTGGAAAGAAGCTTATCAAGCATCTCGAAAGAACCTGCAAACTGAGTGTTGTCCCTGTACTCCAGCTTCCCAGTGAGAAAATGCTGCTCCTTTTCCTCTTTCATAATATTGGAAAGCCTCTACTCTTGATTGAATCCCTAAAAGTTTTAGCAGCATTATTCAGATTCAGTAGCACATGAGAGCACAGATAAGCTAGCCATTAAAACACCTTACTTAAAGGCCCCAAACTTCCAGTTCCAGACAAGAAGCAAAGCTGGCCAGGCAGCATATTCTGAATTCAGGAAAGCTATTAGAGTGCTGTTTTTCCAAGGTAATCACCCTCCTGAGAGCTGGGGATATGAGTGGCTTCTCAATTGCCTTGAAATCACTTTCAACCTCAACATCCTGCCAAGTAGAATACATCCCAACCCTTGGAGTCAACTGACCTTCTTCTAATATTTTTCAAGCCACACTTACCATCTTTCTAGTAGTGAATAACCACCCTTTTTCTTTGCTTCATTAAGAGTTTTGGCACATTCCACACAATGACAGCATTTCTGAAAAATTAGCCCTAACAGCTTTCTAGTTTTAGAAGTTCACACACCCCAACACTAACTGACATCAGTCTTCAAGTGGGAAATGGATCCTCTTATGATGCTCCAACTGCATCTTCGAAGACGTAGGTCCTGGGGAAATTCATTGTTTAATGGAAAGCCTACCTCAAGGCTAATAATTTTGTTACTTCTTCCTTCAGATGGGAAAAGGCAGCCTCAGGGAATCACATCATTTGACTCTTCCACTTTGCCTTACAGTGCCTCGGCCATGTCTAGTAGACTCTCAGCCACAAGCCTAATAAAGGAATTAGCAAAGGGAATAGTGTTGGGTATGAATGTGGAAGCTGAGTGGCCAATTCAATGGAGTTCCTGTGGGAGTCATTAAAATGTCACCAAGCCCTCCTCCTCTCTCTCCCTCATCTCCATGTCGCATCTCACATGTACATACAGAGGCACCAGTGCACATTCAGTACATATATTTTTCCCTAGACAGCGCATTA